TGCCCAATTTCTATCAGAGGGCAGAGAAGGGTCACCAGGTTTTCTGATTTGTCTATTTGGGCTCTCACATTTTCCAGATTTTCTCCTGGATAAAAGTCACTACCTGGGGAACTAGCATTAATCTCCCTCTCATTTACCAACTGTTCTCTTAAGAGCTTGCTGAAGGAGGACTTTCAAATGTTCTTCTTTTTCTGACTGTCCCCTAAGATCTTCTACTTGGTCCTACAGATGTGTAGCCAACTCCTGCAAGGACTGAACAATATGGGTTTCTGCTGTGTGCTGTTTGTTGTGGATTTCTACGGCAGCAGTGAGAGCAGTTCTTAGCACTGCACAAATGATTGATTTTCCCTTTTCCTCCCTCATACGAGTTTGCTTGTGGAGCTATATGATCTGCGACTCCCTCTAAGTTGGGCCAATTATTCTGTGCCCACTCCAACTCCACAGGGGAGGGTTTGGCACCATGCTTTTCTAAGAGGTCGAGGAGTGGATTCCTGCCCTCATTCCCTCCCCAACCCCCCCCCCCTTTTTTTTTTTTTTTTTTGACAAATGTGGAACAATCTCTTTGGGGGGAAAACACGTATTATCAATAACTCAACGCTTTGCTCCTAGTATCCCCAAAGGGTACACACTTCTAAAAACCTCAAAAGTGGAGTGATCTCCTCGGGGGAAAACACGTAAAATCAACAAATCAACGTCTTGCTCCTCACACCCCTGAAGGGTCCACACGAACTCTCTTCTACAATAAGGCAGTTGCTACTACCACCTGGACACATCTGGGCTAACCTTGAGATACAGGGTTGAGTAGCTTAGGCAAGTACGCAATAAGGCATGCAGTTCTAACACAGGTGCTGTGAATAAGTCCTGGTCCTGTTTCAATACTTCCACTAATTCTTTTCCCTTCTTTGTCTATTATAATACATTGGGTTCTCCCTCTGATAGGTTTAGATAAAATCTCTTTGGTGGTTTTTTTTTTTTTTTTTTTTTTTTGTACATATGCTTCTACTCATAATTTACAGTATCCAATTAGACCTAGAAACTTGCACAACTCCCTCTTTGCCCTGGGCAGAGGAAGCTGCACATATTACCCTGAATTCTTTCAGAATTAATTCTCCATTTCCTTTCAGAAATTAAATGCCCAGAGTATTTGACTTTTTTTTCCAGTGCTGCAGTTTATTTTCAAACACCCCTAGCCCATGTTTCCCAAGAAATCCAGAAGCTTACTTGTAGTCTCTTTTACTTTGACAGACTCCTCTGTTCCGCAAATCAGCAAATCATCCACATACTGTAACAGCTTTACCCCCCTCTTCAACCTGAAACTTTTCCAAAACTTTCTCCAGCACCTAATTAGTTAAATATAAAATATAAAGTAATATAATATATAAAATAATATAATACATTATGATATTATATATATATATATATAAATAATATAATAAATAAAATATAATAAAAAGAAATAAAGTAGGTGATTCCCTGAATACTTGGGGTAAAACAATCCACCTATATTGCTACTTTTGTCCCAGTTCTGGGTCCTCTCATTCAAGGCCAAAAGATCTCAACTTTCTGAGTCTAAAATGCAGGTCTAGAAAGCATCTTTTAAGTCTGTTGCATTAAACTATTTATGTCTGTGAGAGATCTGACTCATTAAAGTATAGGGGTCAGGAACCAGAGGGTTTCATTTGAGAATTCTTTCATTAATTTTTCTTAGATCTTGTACCAGTCAATAGGTGCCATCTGCCTTCTGTAATGGCAAAATTGAAGTGTTATAGAGTGACATACGGAGTCCCAGAAGGCCATTCTTAACCAATGTTTGTACTACAGGCTTTAGACCCGTTATCCTTTCTAAAGGTATGGGATATTGTCGCTGTTTCACAGCTTCACTCCCTCCTTGGGCAGTTATTTTTTCTTTAAGGGAGTAATTGTGAGTCCACCTGTGGTTTTCTTCCCCTGCCCACACCTTTGGATTCATTTCTTTTTCACCAGCAGCTGTTAACAAGATCTTTGACACTTTTATACCTGTTCCACAAGTATTCAACTGCAATCTAATTTAACTACTAAATCTCTCCCCTGTGAATTGGTCCCTGCTTCTGGCACATATAACAATTACCCTGTGACTATTTTATCTTCCCATGTTCATTCAATAGTCTCATAAAGTGAACCAACATTCTTGATCCCTCTACCCCTGTTATTCTGAAGGTGTTTCCAGTTAAATTAAGTCCCAATTTTTATAAGCTAAAGATGACCAAGAATTGATCAAACTGTTCTGCTAATCCAATAAGATTTTTCACTCAAGATTTCATTTCCTTTTTAAAATTTCTCACCTCTCCACTAGTAAGTAGTAGGGAGTTTACATATCCTGTATCTTCTGATAACACTGGAACTTCACTAAGAGGATACATGGAGGTATTAGTGGGGTTAATTGAGTTAGATTTAGCAAAAGGAGAATTTATAATGTCCTTTTTGCATTGTTTCTATATTTTCTCAAGCTGGCAGAACTTTTTCTTTTCAATATCAGCACTAATCACAGAGCTCGGTTCAGGTGGGCTGTGAAGGGGTTGATCCGAGCCAATATCCTCCGCTCTGTCAGCTGTCTCCGGCCTCCCTCCTGTAGTTACAGGACTTGACTCAAGGCCAGGATGTAAGGGGGGGGGAAACACCATTTCGTAGAGGAATGTGAGTGAGTTTAATCCCAGGGAGAAGTACAGGGAGTAAACAGCTTAAAGGATCCCATCTGGAGTTTCTCTGTTCTTCCTTATCTACACAATTTTGTCTAGCCGTGATTAACTGCTGTACTCCCTAAATATAACAAGAAGCATATGCGGACTCCTCCTCCAAAGCAAAACAAAACAGTAAAATAATAGAGTACTTTTACTTATAAGTGCATGTTTGAAGCCTGACAAATGCACCCCTCCTCAGACCCGTATTTTGGCTAAAATACTGATTCCCTATAATCGGCTCTTTAGGCAATACAATAATACAATTCCTAATCATTTTCTGTTTATCCTTAACCCCGGTTTTTTAATTTCTCTTCCAATTTTTCAACATATTTCCTAAAGGACTTACAGCAGGCACTCCTCCAGGGGCCCTCTCTCTGTCCCCCACCTTGGAACTTATTCCCCATATCTCAGCAAATTGGTTGTGCTACTACAGGAGATGCTCTTCTGCAGCATTGCACACACCAATTCTCAGTTCTAGGAAATGATGTGGATCGTCAAGCAACCCTTTTGCAAGACACTTCCACACAACATAAGACCACACCTCGACCTCCAAGGCAGTACTTAATTGCACTTGATTGTTCTTACTTTGGTCTGTGCACAGAATTGCCAGGAATTATAAGGGCAATCACACATCACTGCAGTGCCCACTGTCTGTCCCTTTCCCCCAGCTGTTCACAGATCTTGCCTCTTAAAAACATCCTCAGGTCTGCAGCCGGTTCCATGCTGAACCACCGCTGCCAACTCACAGGACTGCAGAAACAAGAGCGAGGTGCACTGCCCTGTGCTGTAGACTCAGTGCAGGAGACATTGTTCCTGGATTTCAGCACCAAATTGTGAGAAACATGCTCAAGATCAAAAATTTCCAATCAGGCAAAGATATCTGTGAAGGGCATTTTATTCATTACTGCAATAATGGGCACACCCCCCTACTGGCAGGGGAGAAATGGCACAAATAGTCAGTGAAACTTATCGTATGCTACATACAGAAATACTGGAAATTTCCACTGCAAAAACACAATCTACCTCTTACACCTTCTGGCTAGAGTTGTGAATTTTTCTTCAGATTGATCTAGCTGCATAACTTTAGGGCAAAATGGAAATATTTTTAGATAAAAACCAAAAAAAGAAGAATAAAGGTTTGGGATCCAAATTACGTAGTCAACACACATCTAACTTTCAGCGTATGTTAGTTGCAAAGACTTCAGTCTTAAATCAGGGCTGAAACGAATGGATGTCTCTCGTGTTACTTTAAGAAGCTGATAATTTTGATCAAATTCCTAAGTGTTGTTCAGTGAAATGTAGGACTGGTCCGATAAGTACATGCCACTGCAGACCATTCAGAGGTCATTCTGCAGTAATCAGTAAAGAGAACACTTTTATGTGGACATTAATGGAGGAAATAACGAGAGATACATGCATTTTTTTCTTTTAAATCATTTTCAGGTATTTTCACTATTGATAGGGTCACGGTTATACAGTGTAATTAAGTAGTCAAAAATCTGTCAGAACTTGAAGGAATTCTTGGAATTTTTAAGGATTTAATCAGACTTAATTAAATCAATGTTGTTTCATATTCTTTGGGCCATAGATTCAGTTTAGAGAGCTGTAATAAAGATTCAGCAGTGCTCATTCAACAATAAAATATCTGCTTATTTTTTTTTTTTTTTTTTTTTTTAACTTATAAACATGAAAAATAAGATTAATCTCAGCTTCAGGTATCATATCATAGAATCATAGAATGCCATGTAGCAATTGTCACTGTAGAAGGAAAAATAGAGAGGTACAGTGAATGTGTTCTAAACTAAAGGTTAAATGCCTCCTCCCTCTCCATCTCCCACCATTAAATGGCAAAATGATAAGGTATTAAACAAAAGACCACACTGCCTCTATTTTACCTTCAGCTACATTGAATCCAAATGAATGCTCCCTTCTGTACTCCGAAATTACTCAGATACTCATACTCTTTTATTAAAATGCTATTTAGCTTAGCTGAAGTGGTCCAGCAGCAAAAATGTCCCATAGCAGAGGGTCTCACGCAGCAAATGATTCTATGTGCTTAGGTGCCTGAAATCCATACTGAGAGGTGATCTGTTGAGATAGAAAGACTTATCGGTACAAAGCTAATTTTCAGAGCACATGCATTCTTAATAATTGTCTTCAAAGGTAAAGTTCATTTGCTTGTTGAAATAAACAACAATTATAAAGCAACAATAAGGAAGTGTGTTTGTTTGTTTTCAACAGACGTTCAATACCTTATATCATTTCTCCTCTGTTTATTTTTAGGATTTACAGACATTAAAAGTGATCTGAGAGAACATTTGCCATTTTCTCAGGCTTGACCAATGAATTTTATAAAAACTTAAGGATATTTTGAAAGGCGTCTGTTCAAACTGCAGTTAAAAGGTGCATCCTAATAGAAAACGTGGTACGTTTTTACCTGTGACTGACGTTTTGGTCCTCCATTATACGGTGAGCGTTTGCTGGAGAGGGAAGAGAAGACTGCTTTTGTCAAGAACTTTTCCTCTAGCAGAAAAGAGCTGGCGTAGCCTCACAATATGAAGCCCTTTGAGAAAACCTGGTTGTTGCTATTGCTGTCTGTTCTCCTAAGAGTTGTCTGCTCCTCTTTTATAAGTGTCAACCTTGGCATTAAAGTGATGAAAGGACAGTCTGTTTTCCTGTCAGAAGATGACCTCAAGTTTTCCATCCCCAGAGAGAAGGATGTGTGCAAAGTCGAAGTTGTGAGAAACGAGCCAATAACGCAAAGGGTTGGGAAGCTAACCCCACAGGTATTTGGGCCCTGTTTTGCTGTTCTGAATATTGCTTTACATAATTCTTTTTGGGTACTGCTTAAAGCACACAAATCTGAATGTTCTGTGTGAATAAGATTAACTTTTTTTTTTCACTAAAAGTAGCCAGTTGACAGAGAATAGCACTCCTGAAATTAAAAAAAAAAAAAGCTGAGTTAAATACCACAAATGTATAAAAATGATTTTGGTCAGAGCTTTCTTTCACAAATGTAGAATCGGCATTTCAAAACTTTGGGTCAGGAGACATCTCTCACAGTCTCACAGTTGCCTGCTTTTCTACCACTGCAGTATCCACTGTCCCTTGGGTAATGCATAGCCAGCTAGAGCATTCTGCATTTCAGTCACACAGCCACTACCTTGGAAACAATTAGGAAAAAACCATCACATACAATAAGCACATTGTGTACGGTATTATTTACTCTGCTCTGCAACTGCCAAATTGCTAACACATGGCAAATTGATTTTAAAAAATTGTTTACTTTTAAAATTTTGAGCTTGTAGGAATGATGAAATGTATTTTATACGTCACTGTTCTGCTACTCATTTGCTTAAAAAATCTCCCCGTCGAAATCATTGGAAGAAGGAATTAGAAATAATTGACAAGAAAATGTAACGGTAGAAATACAAGATTAATGATTTTAAAATGAACCATAACCCAACAGCTTTTGTCTATGTTTGAAAAGTTTTGTTATGCATACACTTCCACAAATTGGCATATGTCAAATTTTTCACTTCCTCTCAGGCTTCTGGTGGTCTCTGCAAGGCCAATGCAGAAACACCAGTCTCAGGTTTTTCAAAGCTTCTGGCCTGCTTGTCGACTTTATTTCTTTTTTGCACCATTTTGCACCATGATTACTTCAGGCAAACCAGCCGAAGTAACGGCAAACTTTCTATCCCAAGGAAAGCAGCAGGCATTGAGCAGTGAGCGTGTTTTCTCCTCCAGAGCCTGGCCCCAGGAGGTACAGGGCCTCTGCTGAGAATCTTCCCCAGAGCTTCTGTAAGCTCAGGGTTCTTTATCTCCCTCCACTTCCCTGGTCCAGTCTGATCCACTAGAAGAAAAGGAGAAACTTACATGCCTCTTTGCCTAGAACACTTTTGTATGCAGGGCAGTTAACTGTGTGGTTGAATTTGCTTTCAATTTCTGCCTCAGCCACTAATGTGCAGTAGGACCTAGGTACTTTGAAAAAGCCACTTTTACTCTGTAACCTAGCATGCTTTAAGCACAGTCAGAATTTTCTAGAGGCCCCAGGAGATATGTACGCATCACAACTTACTTTCTGATATACCTACGGTCCTTGTCTTTCTCTGCTCTCAGACTAATCTCTTTCAAATGTCTGTTCTGTCATGGTCCCAGTCTGAGAATGCACAGCTGAGTCCAGTGCAATACACTTCCAAGTCAGCTTATCTACAGTCCTATTCCCCAGGTAGGAAAGAACAAAACAACTTTTAAAAGATGAGGGCTTCTCGTTTTTTATGACACATTTGGATGTGCTGCCTGAACCTTAACCATTCCTGAAAGAGTTTGCCAGAGTTTGGCCATCCTGTTGCCACTCATGCTCCTTCTATCAGGAAATAATGCATGCAGAAAGTATCCCTGATCAGATCTGTTTTACTGTCGTTAAACTGAGTAATGCACTAGGAATGTGTGACAATGTAATTATAATTTGTAATTTAAAAGCAGTTGAACTGGAAAAAAACAAAGCTTGGTGGTAATTAGGAGAAGATTCAGGTCTCCTTTGTTGTACCCACTGAGTTTATAGACAATTAGAGCTGGCTGTTTATACAAAAGGAAAATATTAGGAAATATAAAACAGATGTTTCTTTTTTGCAAAGCAGATTGAGTCCTATACACATATAAGATAATCAATCAGTGTTAACAGACTTTTGTGGAAAGGTCTTTCATTTTCTACCCCCTTGTTGACAATTAAGTGGTGAAAATAATGATGTCTTGTAAATAAAGAAATCAGTTATCTGATACAAGTAACCAGCTCCTCTGTTGCAGGCAGTCTCCTCTGATACGAACAGGAGTTGTATCATTGGAGGAATATCTGATTGCCATGTGCAAGTCAGGCCTTCAAGTCAGACAGTCTTACAGACCTCTACAACCTCTGAGGCTCTACACTGATTTACACCAGTGATGTTACTGAACTGCAGGAGGCTATAATACGAGCAGCTTTTCTCTATAACTTGTATTTTTGTTTAACTTGACCACTCGACACCTCTAACTTCTTATCTTTTTTCACGTAATGTCACTTAGGACTATCTAACCCATTACTTACCTCTCACTTTCATGCTTTTTTATCTTGCACAAAGAAAGAGAGGTAAAAGAAAAGACAAGAAAACACATATTGTTTCCCAAGTTCTGGAAATAATGAGTGTCTCTGTGATTTGGAAACAACCACAACATAGTCAGAACCTTCACCATATGTGAATCAGATTTTCATTAGCTGTTCTTGTCCTCTTTTTCTAAGCAATTCCAACAAATAAAAAAACCAACTGTGCCTTCTGTGGTGCAATATTACGGATTGGCCCGAGGTTATTTTAACCAATTGAAACAGAGTGGTAAATTCATGTATATGTATCTGATAATAAACTAATTAATTACTTACTGGAAAAAAATGACTTTGCACGATGTACTTTTTTGATAAACAATAAATCAGGCCGCACCTTTTGAAATCACATGAAATATAGAAAAATTATCACATATCTTGAGACTCTGAGAATAACTTTAGTGGAAATGAACACTTCCAGTAACAAGAAGAGATGATAAACCCTAATTTCTAAATTAACTATTAATGTGCAATTAACAGACATGCATCTTGGCTGTTTCATGGATTCATGAAGAATGTAAGGACTACTGGCCTTTGTTTCTATCTAGCTACTGCATAGAATTAGAACTTGCATGTTTCTATACTGAATAAATAATCATAAGGTTACTTCATTTTTACATTGAAATACAGAGCATCTAATAATTTCTCCATTTATCACAATTTCAGTTAACGTTTTAGAATCTCACCAGAATGCCCTTTCCATTTTACCATTCCCCAAAGTGGCTGGGAAGACGTAGCTAATGAAAGCAAGCCACATTTTTAAGAGAACCTTGGTAGTATGAAATTATCTCTGTTTTCTGCAAAGAGTTGCTGTTTGTCTGACAACTGCATCTGCTGTTAATTCTCATTAGCTATGGCCTCATCAGAAGTATTAGTGAATGCTAAACAGATTTTATTTTAGTCCATAGAAGAACTAATCACATGTGAATACTGCCATTAAAAACTGAATCAAAACCAAATTTAACTTCACCAGGAATCACATGAGAAATGTAGTGATTAACTTCTTTTTTCTTGCTGACAATAACACGCTCTTTTTGCAAATACAAAATATGAGCATCCTTTGCCTATGAACAAGCTGTACAGTGGCCAGGCAAGTTTTCAAAATATTATTCATACCAGGTGTGGCATAAGAATTAATCTCTTTTAAATTAGTTAGTGCACATTTGATGTGATCTTCTGGTTGCTTTTATGTCACAGGATTAGACCGGGTGTTGGTATGGTACAGAGAAACATCATCTGATCCAGCAAAGGGCTGCAAGTACAAAGTCAGTGTTCCAAAAACATCCGATGTAGCAAAGTTTTCAAAAGAAAAATTTCACAGACTCGAAGTATTCCAATTATAGTGGCCAATCCAATAATAGGATTTACTGTATAATCAAGCTACAGTCACAAGCAATTTTAAAAGCAATTTAACTCAATACAATTCTGCAGGAACTGCTGGCAGTTCAGACCAATTGAAAACAGTTCTTGTTCTGAAAACAGATGCATCCATACATCCACAGTCTGTGATAACAGAGAAGTGAGAGCTCAAACTGATTACTAAGTTAGAGGAGAGAGGAGGGAAGTGGTGGCAAGAAAGAATCGTCTTGGTATGCCTTTCTTATGGCAGAGTGCCAGCATCCCCAGTTACTGTGCTTGTTCTGGCTTTCTTTGAGAGACCAAAGAATGGGTGAATAAACAGAAGATTAAAGATTTCCCAGGCCAACAGCCAGAGAGAACTGAAGCTGTGAAGTTAGCTTCCTCAATAGCATTGTACTTGTCTATTCTTTCTCTTGCATAGGTTTTTGACTGTCACTTTCACCTTAATGAAGTCAAATATACCCACAACGGTTGTCCGATTTTAGACGCAGACACAGTCATGCTTAGGCTGTACAGGTAAGCAACACCGGGTCATCATACTTTGTTGTCACAATGCAGCACTCTCACGAAGAGCAAGCAGACCATTTTTCATGGGAAAAACAGGTTCTCTTGTACCTGAGGTAACTACATAGATTCAGCTGCAGCAGCAGCAAAGAACAACCAACCAACCATCTATTTACAGGTACATTATTTGCAGTGCATTTCAGATACGCAAAAATGTGAATGTGAGAATGTGTTTGTTATTACCAGGCTTGTTCATTACAGAAAACCAGTGATTTTTCTGATTGCTATTGAAAGAGGTAGCAGTACTTGAGAGCACAGCAATATTCTGTTTTTACTGCTAACAGGGACGTGTGTCCCTGAGTATACACAATAAATAACCTATTCCTTTTCAAAATCTGTTTACAAGTAGAAAGAGGTGAGCAGCTGTGTCTCATGGCCTCTGGAGATCTGGGGTTTGAGTGCACAAGAGAGAAAAGGCTTCAAGTAATTTTGTTAGAAAGTGAGGTGAACATCAAATTTACGAAGAGCATCAGAAAGAGGATGAAGTGCAATTATTTTTTTCTTATTACCCGTAGGTTTACAGAAAATGAAACATTTGTAGAAACATTCACCCTCCACATACAGTTACTTGAGCCAGACTGTAACATCATCAAAATGCGCTCCCGAGCTTTGGAGGTACCTGAATACTACGGTCTGTCCAGGGCAATTGACAAGAACATCCTCACTTTTGACTACAACAGGAAGATGAATTTGGAATGCACCATTTCCATAGCTTCTTCAGAAACCCACCTCCCTGCTCATGGCCAGCTCATGCTGGAGGACATGCAGCAGGAACAGCTTCGAGGGGATCAACCACAGAGCTTCCTCCTTGGCCCTAGTATGATGTTCTTTAGTTGTTTGTATTAGCAGGTTCAAAGAGTCCTGGCAGATTAAGTCTGCTGTTTGCTCCAGACATGCTGGGTAAGAGTGGGTCATGTGAAGTTTAATGAACAGCTTGAGCTGTCTTGCAAACTGAAAGGATCATGAAGTCTGTGTGGGGCAAAATTCAGTTCACTGATGGTCGGTAATTCCCAAACAGGAATCTGGTTTTTAGCTCCTAGATCTGTGGATCAATGTGATGACTCTGGCAATGCCAAAACCTTGTACAAACAGCACCGGGAACTGTTGGAGGTAGCACTCCCCCAAGAACCAAGGGAAGCTGGAGCAGAAAGATCTCAGTTAAGAACAAAAGCCTGTAGGAAAAGTTAGGATGGGAAAGGAGTCCTAACTGTCATCACACTGGCTTTTTGTCAGGCTTAGTTCAGCCCTAAGAAGAGGCTTCCCACACTGGTTTCTGCTCAGCTAACTGTTTCCTTATGGTTTCTGTTCTATTACAGAGCACAGCCCAGGCCAGCAGTGCAGAAACGGGAGCTGTGTGTTGGGACTGAGAGTTGTCCATAACACAAAAATGAGCTGTGAAGAGTTTCTGAGGAAGGGCATTCGGTATCAGCACCTTGACCCTCGCTCACCAGATATTGACTATATTCCAGTGAGGCTGGATCTCACAGATAGCAGAAGCAAAACTCTGCACAAGGTAGAATCTTATGCAACCTTACAATGTTCCATTGTCTTCCTGATTAAAAAAAAAAGAAAAAAAGAAAAAAAGAAATTTGTTGCTTCCTTTCATCTTTAAGATAGGTAATGGGTCTTTGTGGGTGTTTCATTGTTGTTGCTGCCAGCTGGAGAGATTAAATGCGTTATGACAGTATGCTACAGAGATGCAACTCTGGATGTTTACTGGTAGTCTTAAGTAGTTTAGACTGGGAGAAAAAATTAACCCTGGCATTATTCCACATCTTTATAGGGCATGAACTACACTGACTTCAACATACATAGTAGTTAATAATCTAAGAGCTGTGTGAACATATTCAGTTAATAATAATTAATGGCTCATGTACATGCTTCTGTCAAGTAAAATTATTCATGAAACTCGCATCAAATGAGGCATGTTGTTTCAGCCCAGAATTAAGAGCACTAATAAAAACGAGTGAACCTGGAAGACCTTTCCTGAGATCAAAATAATTTACTCTGGGCATTTTTTTTCAATAAGATGTTTAAGTTCTTCTATATCACTTTAACAAGTGTCCCAATTATGAATGTGAAGGTAATGAAAATCGAACTTAGTTTGCTTCACTTCATCCTTTTAGTTCTCCTTTTTCTCTTTGTTGTAGACTGAGTATGCGTGGCTCCCTGTTCAGATTAAAAGTGCTACGCCCAATCAAATACCCAAAGCTGTTCCAATGACGAAGTTCATCTTGGAAGTCGACCAATTTATTTTAACTCCCATTACAACCACAACTGTTGATGCTGAAGACAAGGAAACTCCAAAGTCCCTGCTGGTGTTCAACATTACAAAGCCACCTCTGCAAGGCTTCATTACTCACCTATCAGACCACACAAAGCCTGTTGGTTCCTTCACATGGAAAGATCTCAGTGAAACACTTATTGCTTATCAGCCTCCAAACAACAGCCACACAGAGAAGAGGAATTATGAGGTAACAGTGTGATTCCTAAACATTTTCTGTTTTTCTTCTCAAGATTTTATAAGCTGTAAATAAACACTTATTTTTTTTCCTTTTTTTTTTTTCCAGAAAAAATAAATATTGTTTCTCTAACTGTATGCAATGCAGGGTCTAAGACAGTATCTTTTACCACATTCAGCTATTACTGATATCAGCTTACCTGTCTAATGCAAACCAGGTCTTTGCTCACAACTAAAGTAATTTCTTTGAACTCAAAGACTTCTAACCTTTCCATGAGTGAATATCAAAACAGTATTTTTCAGATCTTCTTGTTCATCTTCTTGTTCATCTGCTGCTCTTCTTATAATTATTATTTCTATTATCCCTTTTTAATGAAGGGAATAGAAGCATCATTCTTCTTTTAGACACACTCTAGAGCATTTGGTAGGGCAAGCTATTCTTTTTCCACTTCTGTTTCATGCCTATGCGACAGTAGTGAACTCTGTGCTCTTTAGACACATACCTAAAGCCACAGAAGGCAGACAAAGGTCAAGACTGCCACTGGATCTCATAGCCTACTGCAGCAGTGGTGGTGTAAGAGTAGCATGAAGGGGTCCCTAGTAGTTCCTGCTAGGATGATTAAAACTATGTCACTAACTCTGAAAATTTGATAGAAACAGTGAGAGTAGGCTGGTGCAGATCTGTGGTAAGTAAGTAACTAGACACTGCCAAAGTGAGTAAGGCCAAGTTTGCAGAAACACATTTATATTTTATGAGGAAGAACAGAGCATCACTTCTACCTTTTCCACGTTTGTTGTAAGTGATGTTTGTCGCTCTGAGTCTGATCTGCCACAGCGTGCTGAAAGTGAATGTCTCCCACCTCAGGGACAGTGTTGCTTTACTTTTTAAGTAATCAAAACATTTTGTGGAATTCAATAGTGTGCCAGCAGAATATAAAATAAGAAAAATAAGTGGCAACCATAAAAAAGAGGGATGGGAGGAAGAGAAATCAGTTGAAGGAGAATATAAATACACTGAAATTAAATCAGATGAGATAATTAAGAAATAACCCAAACAAAACAAAACAGTTGATACTAAAGCAATGAAACTGTCTAAAGAAACATGAAATCAGAGGAGGATAATCTAGAGAAAGGGTAAACTGGAAAGCAAAGCAGATGCAATACAATTTGGCATCTCTTGCTGATAGAACTCGCCTTTTTTAACCTCAGCTGTCAGAGGAGCTGCCTTTTTGCTGTTTCCTTAATGTGAGGAACTGTCATCCTACCAAACTCTGCTCTCTGAGCACATCTTCACCACTCTGCTTTTGGAATTCACTGCAGATTTAAGAATTTCTAGGCCAATGAACAGTTTGACAGATATATTTAAATATATAGATATAAAATTTTAAAATCTGTTTCTCTGTGCCAGTCCATAATTTTCCTTCCAATTTTTTTTAGTCTGATAGATGTTAAAAAGCAGGAAAAGCCCTATTCCTTTATTATTGATATTAAAAAGTCTTATGTTAATTGCTGTGTTGATTGTGTCCCAATCTACAGTTAAAATTGATTGCTACACATTGCAAATTACCCTTCCCATCTTTTGCTGGGAAGAACATTGAAGTCAAGATCAAGTACAGAATCTCAAATACACTTCATAAGCTAAATCAAGTTTCTTTCTTTAACTTATTATCTGATGTTAAAATCTCCTAGGATTTCTCTCTCAGATAAGAACCCACTGCATGGGTTCTGAAGTATATTTATTTTTTCAGGCTCTTCTTACCAATAAGCTCTTTGTTTCCTTATATTATAGCTGGTGGTTGAGGTTCATGACTTCTACTTTGAGAGGAGTTTACCAATCATAGTGCAACTTTCTATTAGAACAGCAGATACAAATGCTCCTCGGGTTTCATGGAATACAGGTGAGATCTCTGTTCCTCAGTTTATTCTGCTACAGAATTTATCACACTTTGGACACAGGAAATCTTGACAGAGCTATAAAATTCAGTTCTACGTCTGGAGTTTAAGGATCACTAAGTGAAAAGAATGCAAATCTATCTTTTTCTCTACTTGTTTTTTGGGGGGAGAAATGTAGAAACTCAAATGCTTTAATTGAAATGAAAAATAAAGAAGTAGTTACAAGAAAAAAAAAAAGAAAAGAAAAGAAAAGAAAAGAAAAGAAAAGAAAAGAAAAGAAAAGAAAAATCAGGATTTTTGTATACAGCATTTTCTCCAAGAATGAACAAGACATAAAAGAGTTTAAATAATAAAGACGAATATATGATGGAGTAAAGGTTGTAGAATAGTGTGTTGTCTGTACTATTTTAAGGAGAAATCTCAAAAGATAAGCAGAAGAGTCACAAACTAGAAAGATATGCTCATTCAAAATCTGAAGGAGAATGGGATGGGAAAGCAATAGAAAGGAGCTGAGAATTGATGAAAATGGGAAAGAGAAAATACAAGTGCTAAAAAGTGAGTATATGGAAAATACACATCAGAATGTACATGATAACATGCAAGTGAAAAAAAAAACACCATATGGCATGGAAGGTTTGGCTTGTGTAGGTCACTGTTGTATTACATTCTGGGAACACAGGTCAGAGCACGAGACACCAACAGCAATTTGAAGCCTACAAATGTTGAACTCATTCAAACGTTTATTATTTCCCACTGGAGAAGGGACAGACTCTTCCTTTCACATTAAAATTTACACTGATATTTGGCCACAAAAGGCAAAGGCCAAACAAGTCTGAAGCTATCACCAGAGAAGGTGCAATCTCTTAGCAGTGGAATAGGATAGGATTTCAGAAAAAGAAGCCTTGTGTTTGTCAGAGAAACTTCACCTGAAATGGCTGTCTGAACAAAAAGAAGAGATACTGTCCTCCATTGTGAATATCAATATAATTTTCAAATTCGGACTCACTAAGAAATGGAGTGCCCAGCTTCAGACACTGTGAGACCTCAGGCACAATTCTTTCATCTCTACAGATGTCCAGAAATCATTCTAAATGGCCTATTTGATAACTGGGAACCAGAATATGTAGTTTCTCTGAAATATAAATTCCTTAAATGCAACTGACTAAAGTAAAGGTAGCAGTAGAGAAGACGGTATCAAGCTTTTAGGCCATTCTTGAGATGTCTGTCTCAGATACGTAGGTAGAACTAAGCATGACTTTTTCCTGACTCCAGAAATGTTTGGAGAGGTGCACTAGTAACCTTGAGTGATGCTTTTGTGAAATAACTGCGCTGCTTGCAGGCCTCAGCCTCCTGGAAGGGCAATCCCGGCCGATCACATGGCAGCACCTGCAAGTGGTAGACAATGATGATATCCAAAATGTTCGCCTGGTCACAGTTGATGGCTTACAGCATGGGCGGCTCACGGTGAGAGGTAAATAAATCCTTGTTTACACTTGGATCCTGGAAATACCTTCTCCAGTGATGACTGGTGGCAGACCACATGAAGGTCATGGAGACACCAGCAGATATGCATGAGAGGCAGATGTGCAGGGAATGAAGGTGCAGAGGGGAAGATCAGGAATTTTGAAAGTTCACAGGTTCCTAAGGAAAGTCGGTCACATAGCACAGACATTTTGGCAAACAGTGCATTTATGTGGTCTCCATCATTAAGCGGGGGAAAAAAAAAGTCTGGTGTTTTCCCTACAAGCCAATTTCATACATGCAGTTGGTTATCATTTTCCTCGCTGTGCATGAATTCAGCCCGGTGCTGTAAGTGACCCCAGGCAGCAGCTCTCATGCGGCTGTCTCCCCAGAGACGGTGCTCGGTTGGCACTGCAGAGTCGGAGAAATGGCAGCGGGGCTGTGTACGTCCTCGAGCTGCTCCAGCAAGGAGGCCACGGGCACGAGAGGGAGGGCTGCTCCTGCGCTTCTCACTTCGGCAGAAGGCAGCCAGAGGGAGCCGAGGGAGCGCAGCAGAGGCCTTGGCCACGGCAGGCGAGTCGGCGGCCTTCCACTCCCTCTGCTGACGGCCTTGCTCCACTGCAGCCCTGCAGCAGACAAAGGCACGGCTGTGCAACTGCAAAGCGAAACAAAAAAGCCCCACAACCCAACCCCAAACAGACAAACAAAAATCAAAACAGACAACAACCCGAGCAACAACAACAAAAGCATCTATTTAAACTTCTTACTTTCTGAACTTTCAACTGAATCCCAAAGGTGAAAATTTAAAGAAATCATTGTCATAGAGCAGGCATGGCCTAGGCTAAATGCAGGTGTTATGTTTTACCATTTAGGTACTAGGATATTTAGGTATTTAGGTATTTAGGATGCTTAAGGAATGATGAATGATTTTGATTCATTGGCAAATACAGAAAATATTTGGATGTGGTTGCTATTTTCTGTCAGTTTAAAGGCTTATTTGAAAAAAGAGGCAATTAAATTACTTCTGATTTTCTAGCCCTCTGCATTTTCACTATCACTGATTTTGCTTTGCCATTTGTTGAGTCATTGCAGTGCTGCTCCCTTTAGGAAAGAAACAGGTAAAAGAAATTGCTGCTGTTAGCAGGGTGGAAAGATGCTGCCACTCTTAATGCTGGCCTTTTGATGGTTAAGTGTTTTTAAAACACACAGCCTAGAAACATAGAACAACCATTTTAATAAAGGAAGAAAGCAATGCACAGAATTTGGTAGAAATAGAAATTACAGAAATAGAAAGTATGTTTCATCTCAGGAATCTCCTGGCATGCAGTTTCGGGGTCTGTGGGACCAGCTGTCTGCCACCTTATAAGCAGAAGATCTCAGTGCCTTCATTTTCAGAGGAGCTCATGTGGGAGGTGGACCAGGGACAGTCTGATGTCAGCCAACACCCCCTGAATCAGAACAGGGATTCCTGCTACCTGCAATGTGATCAATGCAGTGCTTTGAGTGCTTATGTGCCGGATTTTGTTATGCCAGTCCTAGGCAAAAGCCCCGAGAGAGAAAGAGGAATACATGGTATTGCTCTCTGCCTCCTGTCACCTCTAACAGGCTTTTTTGTTTGATGTAGTAGATGTTTTTGTTTGATGTAGTTTGATGTAGTTTGATGTGAGATGTAGTAGTTATCACTGCATCCTAAAAACTACCTATAATTCTCTTAAAGTAAGGAGCAAAGGGAGGGAAAATGCACCTGCAGCTGTGGGTGCCTCTGTGCGTGTCACACAGCTTGGAGGGCCAGAAATATTTTCCTTAGAGGCCCTTGGTATAACATCTATTCCTGCATCAGCTGGGAGTTCACCAAACTTTTAACCTGCCTGAAATATTTTATGAGTGTATAACACGCTTAGTGAAATGCTCATTGTCTCTTTCATGCACAATCATCTGCAGAGAAAAAAAAACAAGAGCTGTAAATATAATTTTTTATTTTCACTGAAACAAGGAATCGTAATTACGCAGCACAGCATCCTCAATTCTTGAAATAAAAGCAAAGTGTCCTGATAAGAAAGCAGTTTGAAAGTCATAATTAAAAATCACTGGCATCTCAAACTGTCTTAATGCAGTACACATTTAGAAGATCTTTCTGTGTTACTATGGTTGTAAATTCTGCATTCTTAATTGTTCTGATATCTGCAAGTTTATTTCCAGTAGAATAATGTGTTTGTTTCTTTCCTCTTCCTCCCAGTTAGAAATACATTCTCCTTGTCTTTACCTTAGTAAGAATTTTTTTAAGGGTTGAACTACACATTTGTGATGCATTTGTTTCTACTGTTTTGACAGGAGAAAAAGGATTCATATTTACAGTTTCTGATATTCAGACTGGAGCTGTTTACTACCATCATGATGACAGTGATTCCACAAAGGATTTTGTGGTGTTCAGGATTTTTGATGGCCTGCATAGTATTCGCCATAAGTTTCCAATCAATATCCTCCCTAAAGATGACAGCCCTCCATTTCTTATCAGCAATGTGGCAATTGAAGCCCAGGAGGGACAGACGATCCTGATCCAGGGCTCCATGCTTCAAGCTTCTGACATGGATTCCAGTGATGACTACATAGTATTCAATATTACCAAGCCACCACAGGCTGGAGAAATCATGAAGAAACCAGGGCCAAACTTAATAGGTAATGAGACACATCCACAATAGCACAATTTTCTTTTTCCTCATTTTTTAAACTGTATTAAGCATGACACCTAGACTTAACTTCTGCTCAGGTTGAATCAAGGAAACTTTAGACTTTTGTTATTACATATGCAAATTCCCACTTTTCTTTAATGTTGGTCTATGTTTGCACCAGGAAAGTTATAAGTGAACACAATTTCACACATAAGTTTTCCATCTATTTCTACAATTTGGTTTTGTTTTTTTTTTTTTTTCCTCAAGAGGAACTGAGCTAGTCAGGAGATATTTTATCCACAGGATTAAAGCCAGCAGATTAACTGAGCTCAGAATTCCTGTGTTAGACTGTGGAGTCTGGCTGTAATGCAGATTCCTTTATCCTCTACATGGAGCTGTTAGCCACTTTGCTGTGTTGCTTCATTTTTTGAATGGTTACTGAGTGACATGGAAATGCAAGAAATGTGAAAGACAATGAGAAAACGTTTCAGAGATCTTGCCTTAGCTGGAGTGAGAAAGGAGGCATGATGCCTCACTATTTACTTGCATTGGTAATGGATAGTATTTATGAAGGATTAAAGTCATGCACAATTCAATAGAAGATATATTCTTTAACTAAACAGGGTATCCTGTCAGCAGTTTTCTTCAGAAGGATCTGTTTAATGGAATTATTTACTATCATCATTTGGGAGGAGAAGTATTTGAAGATTCTATTGAGTTTGTGCTGTGTGATAGCCATGACCCTCCCAATCTCTCAGAGCCACAGGTATGACATTGAAGCATCTCTGGGAGGGAACTTTCAACTTCTGCAAGACTTTCAAATAAAACTAGGATGAGTCTCTCCTGTTTGCCATCAACCATACTTCTTGGCTTGTTTTTCATGGGGTAATGCTCTCTCTCTGTTCTCAGTGAATTTCTCTCAAACTGTAACATTAAATGATGGAAATATTAGATTCAAAGGTGATACAAACAAACCAAACAGCCCTCCTGAAGCCAACAGTGAATGGACTATTCCTCTCAGGAGTCGAACATCCAGGATTGCTTGTGAAAAAAAGGAATACTGCTGAAACTTGTGAGATTTGAGCACCATGTATCTCGTATTCCAGGGATATAGTTATTTCTGTGTACAAGTGTGTAAACTATTGCTTGGACACTTTCTCATCAAGGGAACAGTTGTTGATTTTGCCATCTTCTGATTTTAGGTGATGATGGTGCACATTATACCTGTGGATGACCAGCTACCCAGAGAAGCCCCAGGAGTGACCCGCCACCTGGTTGTTAAGGAGACTGAGATTGCTTACCTAACTAAGAAACATCTCCACTTCATAGATGTGGAAGAGCATGACAGGGAGCTCACGTACACCATAACCTCTTCCCCATTTTTCTCTTGTGTACATGGGTAGGTGTGGCCTACTTGTATCTTCCAGGTGGGATGGAGCAAAGCCTCATGTGAGATTGGCAGTTTCAGTGGAGACAGAATGCCTGTATGTCAGGATTTCCATCTGTTTGCTTAAAGTGCAGGTGATAATAGCTGAGCGCACATCTCTTGTTAATATTTAAGGCTGAGTTACAGCTAAAAGCAGCAGAATAATACAGTTGCATTGTTTAGCAAGAAAGAAGAAGAAATGCACCTGGAATCTCTTTGTTTATCTCAGATTTGCATTTTACGCTGAACAGTTGGATTCTATATTTCCTTGGATACAGTTCACAGAAGCTTTTGTAATAAATAGATTGGTGTTGATCTGGAGCTACCCCAGACTGAGAACATGAGGTGCTACAGCTAATTCTAGGCAGTGCTCTACTGCCATGGTGTTGTGAAGTTCTGGACCAGGAATTGTGTAGCACAATGGCAGGCAGGATAGGCCAACAAGGGCATATGGTAAACAGCTTTAAGAGCAATTTGCATGTCACTGAAGCTGTTTCACTGTTTTGTAAAATGTATTTTTGCAGTTGGTTGCACTGACAACTATCTGCTAAACAGAAAAGTTTAAACCACTGTATGGTTTATGCTGCAGATCAGCATCTGCAATTCTGACCTCAACAAGCCACGAAGAATCAGTAAGTAGCAGAGGGTTTAGACAGCTTCCTGTCCAGCTGATGAGGCACAAGTACTGCTGTTGTCTCCATTGCAAAGATGGCTTGGTCAACCTTGTTGACTGGAGAAATTTGTGAGATGGAAGAGAAACAGAATAATTTCATTTTTTTACATACTGATAGTTGTAGGCATGTAATCATCAAGAGTGTGATGGGCTAGCATTGCAGGTGGTGTAAATAGGCCCAGTAGCACGGAAGCTGATAGCTGAGATGTGCAGAGACACATCAGAATAAATCCCTGTGCTTGCTTTTAAGGTATGCGATAGTTTTTTCACAGTGCTGAAAGACTCACTTGTGGTGAGAGTTCTGTCATAAACTTTGAAGAATAGTAGGGATAGAAGAAAGAAAAAGTTTTTCCTTTCAGTGAAGTTGGGAGTGAGAAATTAATTTGAAACACAAGACAAAACTTTGTGGCTGCTGTTTTTCCTGATCTTTAGTATTGCTAACATATATGTTTTTGTACAGCCACTCCGATGCTGGGAAGCTATTTATGGTGGACACCATCCCCAAACTGGTCAAGGATCCTGCTGCTCTTGCTCTGAGGTCATTTACTCAGGTTTGTTGTGTTATGCATGGTGGTGTAAGCGGTACCAAACACTCTTAAGAACAATCACACATATACAGCTTTTTCCTGATAAGAAAACAAGAGGTGAAAAGTGAATTGCAGTATTATTACATGAACATTGTTTTAGAAGAGCTTATTAAATTCTTGCTAATTCAATTCCAATTTTTAAAAAGAATTTTCATCATGCTTCATATCTGCAAATGTAACTCTCCATCTGAAAGCGTCAGGGGTTGCAGTTGCTTAGGGTGGGCTGAATTTGGCTTATGATTCTGAGATGGAAAAAAAGTGCACAAAATAAGAAATGGAGCCCTGACAGTTCTCTATTTCTCCTCAGTGTCTCCACTGGTAGCTATGGAACAGGTAGAACAGGGCTATGTTCTCTTTTTCAGGATTTTGTTCTGTGGTTTGACAGATGTCTTTTTTTAGAATATTGTTAACATGTCCTGTTCTGTATCATGAGGAATGGTTAAGGCTATGTAGGACTGACTACTGTAATACTGTAGTGGTAGGAGCTCTGAGTCTACCTGGCCTGAATCTCTGGCCTAGTATGTGTGTTTGAATGGAAGATTTTGTTGATTATTTTAGTCTCTTTCACTGGTCTGTCTGTCTGGGTACCCTACCTTGGTGGGCAGGATGTCATGAACTGGCAGTAGATAAAGAACGTAAGCAGTTTATGGAATAAATTTTGAAAGTTCATGTAACATCAAAAGAAGGCATGAAAAAGTTTCTTAGTGTCCTGGCTAATGGCTACACCCATCTTCTCCTCTTACGTGAACACCTCTTCACTTTTTGCAGCACGCTGTGAACTATATGAAGGTTGCTTACATGCCCCCACTGCAGGACATTGGGCCCAATCCTCAACAAGTCCAGTTTGTATTTTCTGTCAGCAATCAGCATGGTGGCACTTTGTATGGAATCTGCTTCAATATTACTATTCTTCCTGTGGACAACCAAGCCCCAGAGGTAGGATGATGAAGAGGTGAAGGTTGTGAAGAGTTTGGAAATGGCTTTGGGTAGAAACAGAAATGTAGGGAAGTTTCCTGATTGGACAGACTTAAAAGAAAAATACTGCATGGGACAGTGTTTCTGTGTCTGGCATGTTGGCTTCACTGGGGCAGAGGAGGAAGGCAAAGTTTGATGAGAGTGCAAGGTGATTTTTTGCAGCACGTAAGCTAAGGGTTGCAATCACAAGTCCTAAATCCTTCCTTAATTGCTTATGGGATTCTGAATGAGATCAGATCAGGGATCTGTGATCAGAGATCAGTGTGTATCAGGACATATTGTCTGCAAATTCCTTGTTTTTCCAACAGAGCAGAAAGGAGTACGTCTTTTGGCATTTTGACTTTAAGGTGTCACATGAACTAGTACTGCAAAAAACTGAAGTGCAGATGAAAACATCAATTCAGCATTCTCCTCCATGCAGGTTTTTACAAGCCACTTGAGGGTGGAAGAGGGTGGCCTGAGCCCTGTCACAGAGGGACACATTCTCATCTCTGATGTGGACACAAAACAGGAACATCTCCTCCTCCTTCTGCAGCGACAGCCTCAGCATGGGGCAGTGGAGCTGGATGGTGTTCCCATGAGGCAAGGTGACAAGCTTTCCTGTGGGGACCTGCGCACCTTGGCAGTCAGGTTAGCTGCTTTTCTTCTCGTGATAGCTGAGTGTCCTAGCTAGATGAGCAAGATCTCTGTGGAGAGGCTGATCAAGGAGGCTACAGCAGGTAGTGCTCACCACTGCATTGCTCAGATAGTGTTGCTCCAAGCCAAAACTTCTTGTTTAACCTGATGACCACAATGGTCACAGTGGTGTTTGAGCAGAAGTGTGGCCAGTAAATGGAGCTGCCATGGTCAGATATAAGTAGTTTTCTCTATAAAGTACTGCCCTGTGCAGGTGAGGAGGCAATTCTATGTTGAGCCTCTTGTGAAGAGGACAATGCTTCCTCTTTTATGGAAGTTATGTGTTTATCAAGATTACAAGAAGGCTTGTTTTGACAGTGATTACTCTGAAGATGCAAATATTGCTGCTGTATTTGTGGTGAGAACAGGATGCTGACTTCCTACATATATGCAGAATTAGAGCTCCTTGACTTTATTTCATTCCGTTAGTCAAAGAAGGCTATCCTACATTGGCTGCTCCTAAAGTATTGCTTCCTATTGTACTGTGTTGTCATCAGAGGTGGATGTTGGTGGTATGGCAGCAGAGGTAGAAGCTCCCACCAATAGTCCCTTACACTTTGTTGCTGTGTGACACATGGCAGCAGAGGGGCAGTCTGACACAAAGGTGTCTGAGATGGAAGTGTCTGTGAGACAGTGGTGTGGAACTGAATTCCTCCATGTGGGAAAAATGGCACTTTGACTTTTATTGACAGTTGCTGAATGTTTATGAAGACTAAACAGAAGATGTGAACAGAGTGAGGCTGTAGGTGGTATAGTATGCAGGTTCTTTTTATTGCTGGTGAAAATACATCATGACTACGTTGAAAAATATTGTTTGAGTAGTTGAGAATTTCCTCTATCCAACAGTGTTATTGTGCTCTTTGTATCTGTTGTAGTTTTCATGGAAATAAATAGGTATTACTTCATTGCAACCTATGTACTGCAGAGAGAAAGCCTCTTTAATTGGTAGCTCACAAACAGCCATACTGCAGATGACAAAGGTTTAGTGAAAACTTTTCCTAGCTGATAACTTTCTTATTTTGGGGGTATTCTTCATGCTAGATATCTCACAAGCTCCTTGAACCCACTGTGATCTAGAACTACAAGTCTTAGATAGGCACCCTTGCGCAGGGATTGGCTTTCTGGTTTGGAGAGATCCACATTATCTGGCATGACGAGGAACCACAGCTTCTTTGTCTGTGTGAAAATATTTTAGCTCTTTTTTTTTTTTTTTCCAGTTATCGGCATGATGGTTCTGAGACTCTTACAGACGAAGTCCTTTTTGCAGCCACAGATGGCATCCACTTCTTAGAGTTCACTCTGCAGGTCAAGGTCAGTGTGTTGCAAACTTCTGAGAGCATTTGTCTATGTAAAATACTGCAAAGTTTACCTTCTGAAAATCTTTAGACCTTAGAAGCTGAGAGATAATGGGTTTGTTAGGCTTCCTTTTTCACATCATCTTTCAGTTTCAGGGTACTATGCCAAATGTAAAAGCCAATTTTTCTCAGACTGTTTGAAGGGCATTTGTGTTTGCTTTAACTTGAGCTCTTCTGCCTGGAATTATTCTCTCTGTAATTAAACATAGGAGGGAGTTTTCATTCTCCAACTATAAATGTCACTGCCAAAATTGTGCAGTGAATTTAAAGATAAACAGTGGATTTTCATCTTTCTCACTGAGAAACTGAAGACAGTAGCAAGTGTACCATTTCCTCCACACAGTCTTCTCAGTTTGGTTTACTTTTTTTCTTGGTTTTTAACAGTGGCCCTAATTCAATTGTTTCAATGCAGTTCACAGAGTGAACTGTGTATTCTGACCCTAACACTTTGTTGCTGGTTTGAACCGGAAAGCTAAACGTTTAAAACAGCAGGTTTTCATTGGAATGACAATAAAAGTCGTGTTAAAAGATGTTAAATTCTCTTTCTGATTAGGTGTTGCCCGTGAATGATGAGCCACCTGTTATGCAAACAGGGCTTATCAATGTGGTGCGTTGCCCGGAGGGTGAAGAAGTGGTCCTCTCCTCAGAGTACATATATGCCACAGATGCAGACAGTGATGACATGAAGCTGGTGTTCGTGCTGGTTCGCCAGCCCTCCCAGGGGGTGCTGAGAAAAGCTGGAATTGTTGTGGAGCGTTTCTCCCAGGCTGATGTCATCTCTGGCTTGGTCACCTATAAGCACACTGGTAAGGGAGACTGGGAGGTGGTCAGACAGTTTTGGTGGAAAATCTTCACCTAAACCCACAAAATCTTTGCAGCAGGAGCTGCTGAAAAACCCACGTGTTGTGATTGGAGAGAAAACTAAGCTGGTTTTGAAACAGGTCTGATGGTGTAAAACTACCAACTGCTTCAATGTCATTTCCAAATTCCTTTTTGAACTGAAAATTAAAGTACATCAAACACATGAAATCATCATAATCCTGGAAAATATCTTTCACTGTTGCAGATACAATATGATTTTTTTCCCCGGGAAAATTATTGATAAAACAGGAACTAAATTGAGTGTTTTTATTTGTTTCATGACATTAAAGAAATCTTAGACTTTTTTCCATAATCGTGCATAGCTCAAGTAATGTAATGTTTGATATGAGGATGCAGAATTTTAATAGAAAACTGCTGACAACCTGAGATGCTAACTGCTCGCCTTGCCAGTCTGCAGAGGTACTCGTTTTTGGAGAGATTACAGTCCATCTTTGCTTCAAGATAAAGAATTGTTCCAGATTCTTCAAGGAAATGGCGATTCTAAAAATACACCATGTTGTGGCTTTATTTTCAAAATCCCCAAATACATTTTGTAAAATTACTCATAGAAATCAATGGCTGGTTAAGTCTCTTTCCTGCTTAATTTAGTTCTTTCATTAGCACGAAAGGGATTCTCTTTTCTTCATTCCTGATGACAGCTTTAATCTTTTTTTTTTTTTTTTCCTCCAAAGGCTCTGGTTTTCTGTGTAATTAGTCTTTAATTTTGTGCTAGTGTGGGGAATATATGTGATATTTTCAGGCTTGGCACTGTCTAAAATGAACAGCTGGTATTTGAGAAGAGAATGAAGTACTTGATTATGGCTACTCATAACAAACTTTTCTTCAATATCCTTTAGATGCTGGGAATGCTGTTTTAAAGGCCATGCTTCGCACAGGCAACAAGGGGCAGAATCTGACTTGCACAAGCACAATTGCCTGTATTTCATGTTCCCTAATTTCTACATGGTAAATGCACTGCCAGTACTTACTGTAAGTGGGGCAGGGAGTCACTGCCCTTTGTAGTCAACGTATCAGCCTGAGAACTGGGCTCACCATTGGATACTTCTCATAAGGGCTGTCAGCTTTTACCATAGTTTTTTTTTTTGAAGTCATTTTGGTCTCTCTTCTGCCTGCAGACTCTCCTAGCAGGATACAAGGTTCTTCTTCATGAAGTTTCAGTTCCCTACAGTTAAGACGTTTATTTTCAAATGCAACATTTTTTTTTGTTGTTGTTGTTTTGTTTTTTTGTTTTATTCTTCCAGGTGGGGAGATTGGCTTGAATCTTTCCTTTGAGATCTTAACTTTTGTTGTTTCTGATGATGAAGCCGGCCCAGATGTGAAAGACTGCTGTTATGACAGACCTCTTCCTCCTCCAGTTCCTCTTCACCGTCCACTCCCAGTGTATAACCTTAACATCACTGTACTTCCAGTGGACAACCAACCTCCATCTATTGCAACTGGTGAAAGTTTCCTCTCACTACAGCATATTATTATAACTGTACTATGCAGTATTGATAGAGTCAGCTGAGATCAGTATGTAAAAGTTTTGAATCAAAATTTCCACATTTTTTTTTTTCTTTTGCTAATGCAGTGTAACCACCAAATTCAATTGCAAGTACAAATGTCAGTAATGGCTTGTGGCTCTTCAGCTGCATGATTAAACCACGTGGCTGGAGATTAGAGTGCTTGAATCTGCTCCTATCCATCTATATACCTGTATTGTTGCACACATAAGCTGTGTCTGAGTAAAACTGAGCAACATCTCATCCTTGAACTTAGATTCAGGCAATTGTTAGGCTTATACAGTGCCAAAATACAACTCTACATCAATCTTTGCATGTTAAGAACACAACGAAGTATTAGTTTGAATAAATATTTAAATATCAAGGGAGGAAATATTTTATTTCCTATGTTCTGTTGATGAATAAAGACAATCCTAGACTATGTCTGTAACTGACCAAATTAATAATGAAACTACATTTTCACCAGTACTTTTCATAATCAAAAACACTCAGATGAAAAAGAAATAGTAGTGGCAATGTACATTTAGCCTAACAACAGGACAGAAAGTTAGATTTCCATTTAATCACAAGGTTTGGACGAGATATACTTGTTAAAGGTGTGTTCTCTGTACGTTTGTCATTTTCAATGTCATTTGTTTGTAGGCATCATGTATATGTTCTGTATTCCAGAGAATATTTAAACATATGTATGAGTAGTTCTGTAATTTACAGGCTATCACCTAAGCAATGTTCTGGAAATGAAGTATTGTCCCAGCAGGGAAATTAAGCAGTGGTGCGTGAGAAATTGTTCATTATATGCAATTCGTAACAGCTATCATGTAATTAATGCTCTGACAAACAGAGGTAACAACTGATTTTGAACATCATGTAAACCGTACTTAATAACTTACCAGTAAAATCAATTTGCAATACCCTTCCCCTTTGCTTTGTGATGGGGAAAGTCAACAGTGTAAGCAAAAATCTCAAAAGCAGACCAAATTCAGTAACAGATAATGTATTATCTTTTCCTCCTTATTTATTATTTCTGTTCTCATTAACACATTCAACAGTAAGTGAGCTAAACATGCAGTAATGCTTCTCATGTATTTTTGTGCAGGTGCAAGGTTTGCTGTGGAGGAGGGCTCCTCAACAGCCCTTACCTCTAACCATTTGTTTGCCACCGACCCTGACACCACTGCAGATGACTTAGAGTTTGTCTTGGTTTCTCCTCCTCAGTTTGGTTATATTGAAAATATACTGCCTTCTCCTGGGTTTGAAAAGAGTAACATTGGTATAAGTATAGGTAAGTGTATGCAATGTATAGTAATGAAGCAGAGGAAACACAGAGTGCTCATAGAGGGCAATACAATGGGCTGTGGAAAGGTAGATGCAGGTGTGAGCATTAATATGGTCTTATTGATGAAAGCAGCTGCTGGCAAATTAAGAGCAGTGGGACTGTGCAGGAGAACTTCAAAGAGAGTCTGCAGTTCTGCAAATGTGAAGAAGAGGTACTTGGAGTAAACAAGGCAATTCTTCTTTTATGCATCCCAGCTGCAATCTATTAGAGGTAGCAATATGAAACATTAATCTGCTTTCTCTGCCTACCCCTTTACTCTCTCAAGCAAGCTTCTTCCAGCCTCTCTTCACTTCTGTCAATAAAGTGCTGTAGTTGAGAATTTGAAAATTCCTGATCCTGTGTTTATCTCCAAGGCAAAGTTTCAGAAGTGATTTGGTCACTGAAGGACATCATTTCAGAATTGTTTACGCTGTGTCAGACCAGTGGGCAGGAAAACAATAATGCTAACTCAACATTTCTAAAATTTCTAGCTTCGTTTCAGTTGAAGCACCTGAAAGCCCTGAGTATAAACTATGTACAAGCCAGGCACATGCGAGTGGAGCCAAGAGCAGACCACTTTGTACTTTATGCCACCGATGGCCTGCGTCGTTCAGCAGAGATTCCATTTTTTGTGCTGATCAACCCAACCAATGATGAAGTCCCAGAATTCATAGCAAGAAACATTACTGTAAGGAAAAAAGTAAAATGCCTGCCATAGAATTACTTTATACCAGAAAATACTTTCTAATTTAAATCAAAACATTTTTTGAACACGTTTCTCTAGATCTTTCCTTTCCTTTGCATGATTCAGCTTGTTTTAGGAAACTGCTCTGTTAAATCCCATTAAATCTGTATGACAGAGCTTTGGTGAGATTGGAGCTGTGCACAATTCTGTTTGGTAACCTGCAGTAAAGTAAGCGAGGACTTAAAGAAATACGTTGTCTAGAATGCAGAAGGATCTTTATACTTCTGTTTTCACTAGTGTCTTTCATAATTTTTGCAGAGTAATTTTTGTACCTGGTGTAGTCTATCCCCTCTCTGTAAATTGTGGTTTTAATATGAGTAATAACTGTGTGACAAGCAAGCTACTGAGGAAGGGATAGACGAAACAGACTCCTAAAAAAAAAATGCCTACTTAGGAAACCATGCTAAAATATTTTAAGTTCTTTTTATGTAAAAGAGTATGACTTTTGTTCTTTTATGTTCAGGTTCAAGAAGGTATGGTGAAAGAGCTGGATCTCTCTGTTATCAATGCTGTTGATCTGGATGTGCCTCAAGACCATTTGGTATTTGATGTTGTGCAGCAGCCTTCACATGGATTCCTCATTAATGGAGTTCATGGCAATGATATTCTACAGTACAAAGAGTTAATTCACCACCACAGCAGTGGGTTGCTTGTTCATGACTTTTCTATGGAGCTACTGAAGAATGGTAGGTGCAGTGCTCTTCTGACGCTGGTCTTTCATTCCTTTAGTAATTTGTAACAGATAAGGAGGCACAGTAAGAAATCTGCATCTGTTTATTCATTTGCCTTAGGGGTACTTTCAAGAGAAAGTTTAAGAATAGAAATAAACCTATCTAATGCTAATGCTGTCTAATGATTTGAGGAGCTGTCAATAAATTCACCCTGAGAGGCCTACATGTCAGAAAGGGTAGTAGTATGTCTAGAGAGTCCATCTACCCTGAAAAAAACAAAGGGAGTATTAAAGCATATCACCAAGACATTTCAGAGTGTTTCACAACACCTAAAATAGAGACAAACTGATTTAAAAACATATTAGCTGATTGTGAGAAATCTTTGGGATAGATGTAGATATAGATAAAGCTGTAAATGAAAAGAGTATAAAACGGTTCAATAGCTTGCCATTATCAGTTATCCTACTTTGAAGTGGCAAACATCTTTCAAGAACATGTGATTAAATTTGTATTTAACATTTAAGACTATGGTAGATTCTTCCATACTGAGGCCACTGTGTGGAAACTGTATCTATCAGTATCAAGAGGGACATAAACTTAATTCAGCCTCACAAAACGTAGTTCAGTCCGCAAATCCTGAGGAAAAGACTTTTTTCCACCCATCAAGAAATATCCCTCAAAAATGTGTAAGCAACAAAAATTACTAAGACTTCTCAAGTTTTATTTTCTACTCTCTTCCAATTACTGGGCTTTTTCATCATTTCCATAGTGGAGAACCAGTCATGTTCAGGTCAGCCATAGCCACAAGTACAGCTTTCTTTTCCAAGATTTTGAAGCTTCCTGAAGATTATGTGGGGTACAAAGAAGTGTTAACTGATGATCCCATCCTTTCTATGTTTCCTGTTAAAATGAGTTGGAGTGAGGGGAGCAGACAATAGGGACCATTTTATGAAGGAGACTGCTCCTTCAGATTGATAGGCTTAGTGTCTTTGAGTCACTAGTATACTGTTAGATTAATGAACAGAAGCAGCCCACCAAGCACATCTTTTGGTGTTGAACAATATTTACTGTGGCCAGGGAGTGTATAGAGGGGAGATGCAAGAAGAGTGATGGAAGCAGAGCAAAACAGAACAAAATATTTTGCAGGAGACAAATTTATTTGTTTTTTCTCTCTCTCTCTCTCTCTCTCTCCCTTTCTCTTTCCTAATTTTTTTTCCCGATGTATAGGTATGAAACTGATGTACATGCATGACGATTCAGAAAACCTCAATGACAGCTTTAAAATCCAGCTATCAGATGGGAAACATAAAGTCCTCAGAACCATTTCAGTAAAGGTCATCCCAGTTAATGATGAGAAACCAGTGCTGAGCAAGTAAGCCACGTGTTCCTGTTTCTGACAGGAAAAAATTCAGACAAAATGATCCAAAAATGATCAAAACAGCTAATCAGTGACTGATAGGGATAGGACACCATAATTAGTCACAGCCTAATGCCAACACAGATGTTTCCATGTGGGCCATTCACTATTAGTCTGTTTTGTAAAAGCATTTTTAGAGAAAGAAGGACACACTGAATGTTGCTATGTATTGAGAAAATAGGGTTGGTGTTTGCATTTAGAGATAAAATATTTAAAAAGATGGACAACAAATTTATTTTATCTTTCAAAACCAACTTAAAAATTGGACCAGTACTTACACATGTCCACCAAGTTATCCATCCCAGATGCTTTGCTTTCCTCTTCCCTAGGGAAACTGCCTGTATAAAACACCCCTCTGGAAGCAGCTCTGGATTTTGGCATGAGAGAGACTACGAAGTTGGTATCTTCATGCCTCACTGGGGAAAGTCTTTCAGTTTGATGATTATCTTATTTTCTCCTAAAAATACTCTATATCTCAGCCATAATTCAACTTTTGAAGAGGTATACATCAATTTCCTTTACTGTCTAAAACTAGAATTCATAAATGAATTAGATCTGGTCAGAAATCTCCTGGCAGACAATTTTCAGATAAACAGCTGGCTGTGAGTGAGTTGAACCTCCTGGACATTACAGCAGGGAACTTGTCCCTTGGGATCCTCATTTTTCAGCCGCAGAGTATTGTTAGGGACTCCATCCCCCTGGCTGCTTTCCAGCCTTAGGAAGGCAGATGGAGAGCTGGGGGCCTGAAAGCTTTGGGGATATGGCTCCAAAGCCTACATTTTGGAAATGACTCACAGGCTGTCAAGCAGGCTGCCATTAAAATAGGAATTCTGATCCCTCAGGATGTTTAGCTACAGAATATCCTAGTTTTGGCTTATCTTCAAACCAGACCTACATTTGCTATTCTAGAGAATTCTGAATGTTTTGTTTACAATGTAGATCTTCCTACAGTAACAAATGTTGGTTTTCTAGTGAGGATTATCAAGGGGCACATAGTGATAACAAAGGGGAAAATCAATTTTGAATTAGAATAAAGGATATAGTTTATGTAGTCATATCAGATTCTGATAATCTGATAATTAAGTGCCACTGCTAGTTTGTTCTTTGCTTGTTAAAGGTTAGTATATTGTTTTTCATTGTTTTTCTCTGAAGAAATGTGATGGAGAGCAGGAAGCTGAGTTTTTATTTTTGCTCAGCTGAATCCAGAAACCATTGCTTCTTTGGCTGGGAATGCTAATTTGCCACTTCTGTTGTGAACAGTAACATATACTGAGCCATTTCCTTGCCAAACAGTTTTTTCATTGTATGCTCTTAGTGCTTCTTACCTGTTAGACTTCCACTGTGATGGCTGTTAGCTGTTACTCTTCCACTGTGATGTGGTGTAATGCCAGCAGTTAGGTAGTAGTACCCTAACTTGTCCAACTTGACAAAAATGTAGTTTAACCATCATATGCAGCTGTCCATCTTTGCTGTGGGGTAGGAGCTCCCTTTTGCTATCACTGCAGTGTGTTACAGGTGAACATATGACTGACAGTACTTTGATCTAATTGTACCTTTTTGCCCTAAGGAGTTTCAGTTCTCATCTTCATTAGCTGTGGTCCACACGCTGAAGAATGGCTGGCAAATTGTCCCTATCTACAGGACTGCCAAAAACTCAATCTGTCACTACTTGGATTGCATCCTTTAGCAAGGAGTGCCCTTGGGGAATGTAAGGCCCTCATGCATTCCACTTGAAAGTTTAATCTCAAGATCAGATATGTGGGTGCTATAAAGACTTAACTGACTAACTGCTATGCAGAAAAATGTGTTGGGATTAGAATGCATTTGGAGAATGTAGCTAAATTTATCTTCTGTCATTGTTTGTTTGAGTTTTTACTCCCTAGCTTACACAGTCTCTGGGTCAAATACCTGGTCTTCTAGTTTGCAAAGCCCCCGTGTGATTATCAGTGACATGAGTAAAACTTTGGAGTTGCCTGACCTATCATTAATATGGCTTGATGTGCCTTGTTATATGATCCCATTCTGGTTGATTCTCATTTTGCCAGACATGAAATCTCTATGCTTCATACTCAGTTTGAATATAGCAACTTTATGAAAAATGCTCAATTTTTTCCAAGGACAGTAATTATATTTTCAGATATCAATACATAATTTTTAGACCTTATTTGGAAATCTTAGTTGTTACTCTGTCTTGAAGCAAGCTCTTCATATTTGGCAAATGAAATGGCTGATCCAGGGAGAACACCTTTGGCAATTGTTGTGAAAATCCACCAGTATTTGGCCTGTGAAATAATATGGCTTGCACATGTTCAGTTGAGTCTGGTAGAGCTTATCTGCCAAAATACATAAGGAATCTGTCCTTTTCGAACCTGCTCTGTGCCCTCTGTACAGATTACCTTGAGTAGGTCCCATCCCTGGGGTGTCTGAATATGCTGAATTCCCTTCAAGCTCTATGAAATTTTTCTGTAGTCTTATAATGTGATTTGGATGCTACATTACAAAAATATAAGGTAGATAACAGCAAAAATAGTAAAGCAGTATATGCAAAGGCAAAATGAAGGATGGTTACTGGCTGAAAACTGAAACAGAAGAGACACAGTCAATTTTGCTGAAGCAATCATCTGGATTTATTTCAAACCATGTGGGATTTTCCCCAAAGCTCTCTCAAATTTTGCTTTGGCTAATGATGACTATTTCTTCTGGATCAAGAACACAGAAAAATTCTGCAATGAGGAGCATAGAAAAGTCACTTAGGACTTTGTCGGGCAGAGTCTATTAAAGATAAAAAGCATTCAACTGAAAGAGAATCTTTTATTTAAGTAACAATGGAGCTAATATTCTATGGTCTGTAGTGGCAGTAGCATGTTAAGACAGGCTCTCTGCTTATGTTGCCTTCACTGTGAGAGGGTAAATGGAATAGCACCTGAGGGAAAAGACAGATGTGGTGAATTCCATAATGTTGTAGGTAGCTGCTTTGTTGTTTTTCACCACTACTAGAAGTAGCTGTTCTGTCCTGTTTGGTTCTCTTCTCTATTGAACTGAAGTAGGGGCCCTCATTCCATTCTTTCTTCAGTTATTTCTGTCAGCATGTGGGTAATCCATATTCCCAGGAGAGAAATTATATGTTGCAAAACTTGTATTTCTTTTGTTATGCCATATATAAATTCTGATTTTTTGCAGGAAGGATAATATAGAGGTGCGTATGGGTGAAACTCGAATTATTTCTGGTGCTGTTCTGTCAGCTGAAGATAAAGATACTCCTAGAGAGAGAATTTTCTACTTATTTGAAAGACTTCCAGAAAATGGCCAGCTTCAAATCAAGGTTAGTCTTTGTACTTCAGCATAAAGTAGGCATGCAAGCAACTCTGTCTTGTTACCACATAGTGAAGTTGTCTTCCCTTTCTCCAAATCTCTTTCATGTTTTAAAGTAGACTGTTATGGCTAGTTCAACAGTAAAAGGAGTTTTTAAACTAAACAATGCTTTCTCAGAGAATTTGACACTTAAGGCCAATATCCTCAAGAAGAGCAGAGGGAAGATGAAAAGCATAGCAGAACATCTGAGGTGACAATGAAGAGAGATGCTGTAAGTCAGCTTAGAGTGATAGAAAGCAAATGACAAGGCAGGAGGCAAAAATTCCTAGGTCAGTAAAGGTGACAAGACAGTACTTCAGAGTTCAGAAAAAATGCAGGAGATATGGCTGAAAGAGGAAGAAATAATGATTTTGAACGAAAATATAGGCAGAAAGAAGGAAAAAAGAAATAATATAGAAAATACATAGCAAGCATAGATCGACCTAACATAAGCCACTGTAACAAAAAGAAAAAAAAAAAACTCCTTTTAAACGTGTGCATATAATAGAAAATAACTGATTTTCAAGATCTGTGAATGTAATGTATTTTAATTGTGGATCTCTGCAAGAATCTGTAGACCCCATGAAAATTTTGACTTATAAGAGACTCATACACTAGGACAAAAGTGCTGATGGTTTGAATACAGAAGGTACCTGTCAACCAATTCCCATCTATTTCCCAAGCAGCGGATTCCCACCTGGCCAACTCCCCACTATTTTTTGAGATATGGTTTGGGAGATAAATAGCTTTGTCTAATTAAGAAATAGAAAACATAAGCTGGGTCAGCAAACTAATTTTCATCTTATTGATGTCTGTGTGTAGAAATGTACTTACCTGAGTAAAAGTGACTGAATTCCATTTACCTGCATTTACTCATGATAGCTATATTTTCTCCAGCGTTCTTACGGATCCTTGGGAACAACTGCAGCTATATACCGCCCTTCAAAACACAAAATATTCTATGTGCAAAGACTCTAAAGCTTAGGAAGACAGCCAGGAAGCTGTCACTATCAGCTGTCATAGCTGCTAATAACCAGAATTAACTATGGAGGATGCATAGGAGACCGCATCTGTTTACTGAAGGATATTCAATCTTTCTAGGTAGGCAGAGACTGGGTGACTCTCCAAACCGGAATGAAGTGCACTCAGGAAGAACTGGATATGAACCTTGTAAGATACGTCCACACAGGAGCTATAGGGTCCAAGAACCAAGACTTGTTCACATTTTATCTGTGGGATGGGTACAACAGATCCCCAGCTGTAGACTTCTACATAAATATCAAGAACATGGAAAAGGGTAAAGATCTGCCTGATCTTGTTTCACAGTGCCTGTTTCTGAAAAAATGTCCTGATACATGTCCTGATACATCCCCAAGCACTATGCAGGCCCGTGGCAAATCTCCCTGCAGACCCCAAAGTCTGTCTGCTCAGATTTCCCTGCTGCCCAGAGCCCTGATGTTCCTGCTGCTGCAGAAGTGATTTTGAGATCTGAAAAGGCACTGCCCAGAGCAGTGGCGCATTGCACCTTTCAGGAATCCCAGCTGCTGTTCAAACAGAGTAGAAAATATTCTTCTGAAACTAGCTTTTGTGAGTAAACTACAGTGCAGAAGGATGGTAAGAGTGTAATAAGGTAAGAAAAACACTGTTCAAAACTGTCCCTGCCTTCCAGGATTATGCTATGGTCTTACAGTCACCAGTCATGGGATAACTCTTAGAGCACTAAATTAAGTGAGTTTGGAACTGAGATTGGAACAGATGTCCAGGGATGTTGTGCTACTTCCACTCTTGCCAGTTTTCAGGCCCCAGTGGAATTAAGCCCTGTGCAGCCTGGAAATTACTGGTGGTATGGCTGACTCTACTCTGAGCAGAAGATAGATAGTTTAGAGATATCCTGAAGTCCCTCCCACTGTGAAATTCCCTAAAATCCTATGATTCTATCATTTTTCTACTGGAGAGGGACTGTGTATAGCTAAATGATAGGTAAGAGATCAGCTTTCACTTCAATACCACTATTTTAGTGTTGTTTTGTTTATCCTGCAGGAGACATTGCTGTTTTCATAAAGCCTCTCAAAGTACCAAAAGGGGATCGAGGCTACATTACGACTGATGTCCTCCTTTCACTGGATGGTACTGACAAGCCTGAAGAGCTTCTCTATGTGATAACTTCCCCTCCTCAGTATGGACAAATAGAGTATGTTAGCTATCCTGACGTCCCCATAGCGAGCTTCAGTCAAATGGATGTTGCAAGTCAGATAGTCTGCTATGTTCACAGCACCAAGGCACATTCAAGGCAAGATGCATTCAGGTAAGACATTAAAACTCTCCACATACCCTTCTCCTATGTGTTCTTGGGTATCTACTGATAAAATATGTATAAATAGGAAGAGGAAGCTCTGAGAGAATTCTCAACGTTCATGTGACAAAGATATTTTCACTGCAATGCACGTAGTTGTGACTGCCTCAGTAATAAATACATTTTTTAATTGATACTGAAATAGTAACTAGAGCCACATTTATTAAATTATACTGGCTTAAGTATTACTCTAACACCCAAACATACACAGATGTTAACATTTAAGTAGGGGAGATGGACTTAGAATATCCTCTGTAGAATTTCTCTTTGACTTCTTGATATGCCTGCCTTTTCCATCCAGCTATTAGCCAACTGCTTGCCTGTCTTTTCATGTATGTCTATTGTGTTGTGGGCTTTTTAAATGCATAAGTGGTTCTTCAATATACCAAAAACGAGTCTATTTATCTGTTCTGACATAACAGTAGTTCAGAAATTCATACAGACAGCCAGGTTTTTTTGAGCAAAGCTGACTACATATAGGCCACATTCAGCTGTCTAGTGATATGTAAGTTTACTTTCATCTGATTCTGAACTTTTCTCTTAGATTAGCTTAAACTGAGCTCCATCTCAACGTGAATGTTTTCTTATTTTATTAAATAAACCTCCATTAGCTAGAGAATGGAATAATGCAGTGAGTTATTTCTAGGTAATGATTGTAGAGGTGTCTTTAGAAAAGAGCAAATTCAGGAAAAAAAAAAAATAGCTCGGAAGTAAATATGTTTTTTTTTTGAAGGAAGAATGCTAACTCCTTCTAACATTGGGAATTTTGTCCAAAAAGAGCCCTTGACAAGAAAAGAACTTCCTGTAAAATTCAAGATTTCCATGTGAAAAGTTGTTTTTCATTTGTGATTATGAAAAATGAAATGTTTAGCTCCTAGCAGTTGCAACTCAGAGCTATTCACACACTTCTAAGAGTGTGAAAAGATTCCTGACTTGAAATGCATTTTCCATGATGCATGTTGAAGCTGCAAGGATGTATTTCATCAACTGTTTTAGGAGTGTTTTTCCATGCAAGCCAGGAAAGTGGGGCATGAAAATATCAAATAAACCTGTTTATTCTGGGACTCTCCTCAGTTGAAAAACTTAAAACTATCCCTTCTACTAAATTCAATGTGATGGAAATTCTGATTTTGAATTTACTCTAGTTCTGAGATTTGTCTGATCCACTTATAATAGAAAAATGGGAAGGAATATTCTTTGGCTACATGGAAACTTAGCAATACAGTTGGGAAACACTGTGACCAAAACTAGAATTACCTTAGACAAGGAAAGCACTAGGATAGGTAGTGCATAAGTGGCTTAAATCTGTAAGACTTTTGAACCAGGCTAATGAAAATAGACCAATAATTCTACAAAAACTATGCTTACAGATAAGGCCAATGTCCTTTGTTTAGGCCAACAGCTTAAAACAAAATTAGAAAGTCAGCCTTAATAAAAGTAAGATTGTGATTCTTTAATAAATATTTTCAATAAATATTTTAATCACAATACTTGATGTTCCTTGATGTTAACATTTGGTCAATAATTTGGTTTTATATACACATAAATATTGTGGCACAATACTATTATTATTTAAACAAGGAATGGTTATGTTAATTATATGGGTAATTATGGGGAATGGGTGGGTAGGAGGCTGGGAAATGATCTGATCAGATTTTTACCTTCCACTGAAGTACTTTCTTTGGTCATAAATTTGTGTGCATTGTTTGGTGCTGCTGGCCTGGAAGAAAGATTTGGCAGTGCTTGTTTGGACAGATGACTTCAAGTGATTAGCAACTTGACATCAGATGCTGGCAGCAGGATGCTAAAAGTACATGCTAATGTCCTCCATTTTGACACGCTGGCTCAATTTTGTAATGAGCTGGCACTATTTATGATTCCATTTTTATCTTTTAAATGCCATGACAGATGGTAGGTTCTACAGCCAACTCTATTGCCATCGAACTGCAGAAAGCATGAAATATTGGTAATGGTGAAATCAAACCACGCAACATGTCCTCCAAACTGTGCCTGAGAGTTGTCCCCTAAATTTCATCAGAGTGAGGAGAATATTGGCTGTTCTCCACTCCCAAGGGGAAAATGAAGCAGCCATAAACGAGAAATAAACAAAGGCCCCAAACCCCCAAGGTGCAGGAGAAAAAGGGCTTCTTGGGCACAGACAGCTTGATTTCACTTCACCTGTGAAATCAAATGGCATACAACATTTGCATTGTAATGTTCAGCCTGATGTACATAATCAAAAGGTTTTCTCCTGCCTGGCATTCTGTAGAAGATTATGGATGAATCTTCATTTTCACAAACTGAATTATCCTAAGTCTTTCACTTACGTATGATTTGAGATATCATCCAAAACGATTTTACAGCTGTCAAAGGAGCTGGAGGAAACTCACTTCAGCTGCAATCTCTTAGATTTTTTGAGATGCAGATAAGGTCTTGACAGAACGTGTTTGGCTTTTTTTTTTTTT